CAATGCATAGCACGTAGGTTCCCAACTCCAAACACACCCTTCTGTCTCATTGAGCAATAGGAGACATGTCCACGGGCTGATCCATGTGATTTGCCTCTTGTTTATTGAAGGTATTTCTATTTGTGCCCACTGGCCCCTTGAACTTGTCATGCATATTCACTCTCAGAAAGTTCCTTTTTAACTGGGCATTGAAAAATTGTCATGTTTATATTTATTAACACAAAGGCGTAATAGGTGAAAGCTGTTGGGAGCAGTGGCTGGAACAAGGGAAATAGAAAAACCTGCCTTATGGAAAACTGCTGCTTCCCTGTTCATTGGCTCTTTCTTCCATACCATAAATCCCTGTTAAGCCTTTTCATCCACAGTCTGCTCTCCCAGCTGAGTTTTAACAGTCCTTCAACCTTTCAAAAAAATTACTGCTCCTTTAAAATGGGGAGGGGAGTGCTTGCAGAGAATTTTTCTGATGCAATGCTTACTCGTTTTATTTTAGCATTATCCACTAGGAGGCTAATAAATGTTTCCTAGGAGAGGGAGTGAGCAAGAGGACAGCGGGATTCAGTATTAGGTTTCCCACCATACCTGATTGGTACTTTGCAATAGAGCCCTGCAGCAGGACTGGGATCCCTTTGGTCCTGCAGGATCCGCTTCCATAATAGCGGGAGCAGGTAAAAAGTACTTTGTTGCAGGCAGGATTTGGTTGGCAAAAAAACAGACTGCGATAGTTTGCGGAAGAACGCTAAATCTCATCAGTTTGTCAAACCGAAATTTCAGCAATGTAAAGCAAGTTTTCTTTTTTTAATATGAAGGTTTTAATACATTTAAGCAAGCAATAGATTTGATGTCTATTACAACAGGAGTAAAGTACTTTTTACATGTTTAAGCAAGATTTGTTTTATTTTAGTGGTAAAAATAGTCTGAATTCTGTTTATAGCTACATATACCAACTTTTTTAGTAGCATGGCAGAATCTCTTTCTCTTGCGGAATTTGCAGGATATAAGGTTTTTGCAGGTGGGAGAAGGATAAACATAAATGCAAGAAACAATAATGGGAGCGGGTATGGTGGAGCGGGACTGGAGCAGGATTTTAAAAATAATCCTGCGCAGGGTTCTATTTTGCAATGGCAACACATGCTGTGGAATTTTAGTGCTTTGTATCAATGGCTGCTGCTTTTTGAGCCGTCAACTGCCAATTGACATTAAAGTTCATTTGACTAACTACAGCTGCATGCAAATCTCAAGGAATATCTTTAGTACATTTCAGCACTACCTAAACCACAAGGAAAAGTAAGACTGAACACTTTGTGGGAGGGACCATCGCTGATGTGTGTTTATATGGAGGCTGGTACAGTATAGTCCTGAATCCTGGTTAGGCCCCTTTGCAAATTGCAAATATTACAAATAAGAAGCTGTTTCATGTGGCCCTACAGAGTCTGTTACAAGCCCAACAGTGGAGAAGAGGGAGTGCAAGTCCTTAGATTTGGCACACCCACATAGTGATGGCACCTAGAGCATCAGCTGAATTCCTTATACCAAGTTTAGCCTCACATCTATTTGGGCCTGTCCTCTAGGCCAGTGGTCTCCAAACTTTTTTGATCGCGCACCCCTAGCAGTAAAAAATTTTTGAGCACGCACCCCCTCCCAAACGAAAAAGCAAAAAAAAAAAAAAAAACACCTCCGGCCGAAAACCCCCAAGGATCCTCTTGTGCACCCCACTTTGGAGATCACTGCTCTAGGGAGCTAACCAGACTGCAGGGAGTGGACCCAGCTGCTAAATCCCTCAGTGTGTAAAGTCTCTAGAGTCTGAATGGAATGCAGGCACTTCCCCAGTCATAGGATCTCTAAGCTCAGTAAGCAAACAGTGTGTTTAGCACCCTCTCCTAAGAGCTTAAACCACATGGCCACAGCCCAGTCCCTGGAATCAGTGCTGACCTGGGGGACTCCCTTGAAGTCTAAATACACCCTGCCTACCCCAGAATCCCACTAACAGTGTGAGCCTTCTAGTTTACCACTTCAAGGGGCCATATGGTAGACATAGCAGATAACACACACAGACTGTGCACAGTACTTGAACACAATATTGCTCTTTAATAGAAAAAAAATACACAGATCTATTAAAAAAAAAAACACCCTACATGCATTTCTCTGCCTCAGTTTCCTTTCCATTGCAGAATATTCTTTGAATGTGGGCAGGGTCACCTGGGTTTATCCAGTATTCTTAAATTGCAGTACATGGCTTCTGTGCTGAAACACAAAGTATTTTTTCCTTGGACAGTCCATCCCCTTTCTTTTGCCTGCCCCATCTTCCTGTGTGTCTGGTCTCGGAGTCCTCCCCCAAGAGTCCTGTCTCTGTCTTGTTTGGGAATTTTCCATTCTCCCAATGTCTGCCACCTGCAGAGAGCAGGTAGAGGGAACTGGTTTCCCTAGGAGTTGGTTAGGTCTTGTCTACACTGCCAGTTTACAGCACTGCCACTTTCTCGCTCAGGGCTGTGGAAAAACACCCCCCTGAGCACTGCAAGTTTCAGTGCTGTAAAGTGGCAGTGTAGACAGTGCACCAGCGCTGGGAGCTACTCCCCTCGTGGTGGTGGTTTCAGCTTGTAAGCCATGGTGGTTCCACAAACTGGAGGCATTGCATGAAACAGCAACATATGAGACTGAATTCATAAATTGTATAGATTTCCCCCAAATCATCACATGGTCCATATATAATAAACAGCAAAACCCCAGTAATTGTGGTAGGTTTGAGGGGGGTTAGATCATCCTTTACTTGAGTACCAGTGCTGCCAACTCTCATGTTTTTGTTGTGAGTCTGATGATAATTATTGTTTTCCTTAAATCCCCAGCTCCTGGAGTCAACTGGATATGTGATGATTGCGGCTTTCATTCTTAAAGAAAAAGTAAGTTTCTAGCCCTCACGGCTGTGGAGAACACTTCAAAATGTGACCCTTGTGCACCCTAAAGGCTCAAAAAGTGGAAGGCAAATAAAAAACACCAAATCTATTATTTTTACATAATTTCATGATTTTAAAGCCACTCTCATAATTTTTGGTGAGCCTGACTCATGATTTTTGAACACTTGGTTGGCAATACTGTCTCTAACTGCTGAAGATTCTTTGGAACTTCAGATTCATAACAGGATCAACTCAGCTCTTTCATTTGGGGGGTAAATCAAGTGAGTGCCAAGCCTTGAATCTACATCAGTCTTTCCAATTAGGACTTAAAGCACTGGGGAGAACTTTGTAAATGATTTCAAGAAATCAATTTGTTACTTTATTGGCATAGAAGCTACTCAGAGAAGATCAAAGATCTCTCTGCTACATGCCAAAGGTGTTTATGCCACAACATTGATTTTCCCAGGTAGGATTCACAATGTGGAGTTTTATCCCCTCTGACCATTTAGGATTATTGTCTATTTCTCCATTTCTGATACAGTGGAAGCTTCCTCCATAACATGAGGCTTATTGTCTCTCTTAATTTCAGTTAAGTAAATCTGTGGCAAAGACTGGAAGAAGAATTTCCCTAGTTATATTTGCACTGTTTCTGAGTTCTGGTTAGTAAGAGGTCCAACTTTGTTTACAGAGAGACAGTCCTCTCTGCCTTTGTGGTGATATATGCCTGTTTGTTATCTCTCTTGCTTTCCGTTTTCCCATGCTATTCATGTTAGCTTTATGTATGTGTTATGAAACATCTAAACAAACAGTCCTTTTAAAAACAGAGGTCTTTCGTGCCGTCCGTACTTACTGACCTCCAACAAACGTGCTCAGCAATTGGCCCAAACTGTTCTGCGCTTGTAAGGAGAGCAGATTGCTCACAGGATGGGAAAAGGAGCATCCCGGGAGAGTGCTGTACCATTACAGATTACACAGGTCTAAGAATGTGGCTGCTCTCACCAGGTTTAACCCTTTGCACCTGGGCTAAGTAAAGAGAACCTAGTGCAGCCCTCGTTCTGAAAGCAGCTTAAGCTAGACCAGAGGCCGTCAATAAGCGGACCACGGGCCAAATCCGGACCGGCGGACCATTTTGAATGAACCCTCATATCTTTTTATTTACTTATTGTTATTGTTGGATTATTATTTTCTCTAGAACCTGGGTCAGTAACTTTTCAGAAGTGGTGGGCCGAGTCTTCATTTATTCACTCTAATTTAAGGTTTCGTGTGCCAGTAATACGTTAACCTTTTTAGAAGGTCTCTTTCTATAAATCTATAATATATAACTAAACTATTGTTGTATGTAAAGTAAATAAGGTTTTTAAAATGTTTAAGAAACTTCATTTAAAATTAAATTAAAATGCAGAGCCCCTTGAACCAGTGGCCAGCACCTGGGCTGTGTGAGTGCTACTGAAAATCAATTCGCATGCTGCCTTCAGTAGGAGTGCCATAGGTTGCCTACCCCTGCTCTGGAGGCTGGACCTTGACTAGAGTTTGACCAAGCAATTTGGACTTTGACAAAAACTAATTGATGTCCTCTGGCTGGACAATGGCGTGGGGGATGGGAGTGAGGACCCTGGGGTCTGTTTGCAGTGCAAGGGGGAGGACTAAGAACCCGGACTCCTGGGTTCTTTTCCTGGCTCTGGCTCTGTGAATTGGGTTGGGGGGCGAGCCCTGAGTCCTGTGCTGCGCCTGTGCCACGGAACACGTGACCAGACACCTGGGTCCCTTCCCAACTCTGGGATTGTTGCCTCCTACTGGTCGGCTCCACCTAGAAGCCAACCTAACGCATGCGCACTAGCGCCAATAACAGCCGGGCCCAGAAAGCGCATGCGGTTTGAGAAGTGACGGGGCGGGGGGGAGTAGTCGGAGTAGCACATGCGCAGTGTAAAGAGACGGCGCTTGGTGGTGGCGCAAGCGCAGTGATGACCAGGCGGCGCCTCGGGGAAGGATATGCGCAGTTACTGGAAAGAACGTTCCGCTGGCACATCCGTGGGTGGGGCGGCGTCTGCGCGGGGAGGCTGAGCGATCCGCCGGCAGCCTCTTGCGTCAGAGTGGGCGGTGCCTCAGGGCTGCGCCTGCGCAGCCGCGGGAGGCGGGGTGCTGGTGCTGTGCGGAGCCTGGCTTGTTGTTGTTGTCACAGTCCCGGAGGCTTCTCAGTTGCCGCCGCGCCGCGTCGCCATGTCCTGTTCTCAGGAGCCGCCGCAGAACAACAACAACAACCCCCCGGCCGAGGGGGCACCCGCCGAGCCGGGCCTCAACAGTGAGTGCGCCCCGTGTATTAGCATAGGCAAATGACATGTAAATGAGGAGGGCCTGCGGGGAGCGCGACCCCCTCCCATCATCCCCCCTCACGGCTGGGATTGGCGGAGAACGGGGCCACGCGAGCGTCTCCGGGCCAATCCGTAGGGTCCCGGGCGCAGTTGGTTCGGCTGCGCCCGCATGGGGGGCTTTAGAGATGGAGGAGGGGCTGGGTACCTGGGGGGGAGCAGCAGCATGGGGGAGGGCGCTTCGAGGGATGGGGGGGGTCTGTGGGTTTGGGGTTCACCGGGAGGGGGTTACGTGAGTCTATGGGGGGGGGAGGTACGTTGGCAGCCTGAGGGCCTTTAGAGAGTTGTGGGTACGCTGGGGTGTGGAGGAGGAATGGGGAATGCGGGGGGGGG